CTATCAAATAAAGGCATAAAAGGCAAAAAAAATAAAAAATAAAAAAGATATACCAGAAGTGAAAATAAAAAAACGTCAAAATGTTAAATTTTGTGTTAACATCTTCTTCAGATCATCCAGTCACTTGACGAGGACCCAGCAGCCCAGAATAAACAGCTCACCCTCCGCCTCCAACAGATCGCTGCCGCCCTGGAGAACAAAGTCACTGACCTTTGACCTCTGATATCACGGAGGGGTCAGTGGGGGGAGCTAACGGCTACTAAAACACAGGATGTTTTCCATTTAAAGACTCAAAAGAGGACGAGCTCTTGGACTCTACCGAATGTTTGACGATATAAGGACTGAAGAGAGAGGGGCTAGTGGAGCTACAGGAAGCTGTTGACCACATAAGGACTGAAGGGGGGAGGAGTTGTGGGACTCCAGGATGGGTGAGGAAGGGAGATTTTAGACAAATTAAGTGTTAAAATATGCCCAGAGTGGTGGACACTGAAGCGCTGATATCCGCTACACTTGTATGGCTTACTTCCACTTGGCATCCCGAAACAAATACCAAGAAGGTATTGCAAAATGGCGACCATAATATGGCTGCAGATGGGAGCTCTGTGAAATCAAAGGGTTATTTTTTTAATGGTAGCTAGTTCGGTCTGTGTAATTCTCGGACCTAGCTGTTTCTGTGTTTTGGCTTCTAAATTTTAATTTTATCCATATAACAAGTGATGAAGAACGTGTCACACAAGGAATGTAGATTGAAGATTTTTGGATAATTGAAGAATATGATTGAAGTAATGTGACATTACCAAATATTTTTCTTTTTGCTGCCCTTTTGGAAGTTCGCATTGGAAGTATGGCTGCTCCAGGACGCTTTGTGACCTTATCATATTACAGCGAAAGTCTATGAACTATGGATGTAAGGTGATTTTTGCCTCGTAACTCCTGATCTGAGGTCAGTTTTTCTGTCTCCATACTAAATGGTAGCCAGGAAATCTGATCTCTTGTCAGCAACACGGAGCAGTTTGTCATCCTATAGCGTGAAAATGCCCGGAAGAACCTTCAAGCGCACTCAAATAAAAATAATCAACCAATGAAAACCCACTATGGTACGCACCACTGGCCAATTTAGGGTCTTGGTTTGTCTTGATGGCACAACTGAGGAGAGTGAATTCAGGGTACGATGAGTTGAATTAAGTCCAAAAATCAAACTTGCAACATAGACTTTTCTTGTATCACAGCCAAATGTTTTTCATATCAGATTAGCTGCAGTATGTGATTCTATGCTGATGACACTGTGCTGGTGACTCGAATCATAGCCGAATAATTTCATTCAGTTAAGTTTGTTTATTCTTATTCTTTGTATGCAGGCTTTAAGCAGAGGCTTTGCATTTCCATATACAACATGACATGTATCTTTTTAATGTACTGATACAGTGCCACTTAGTTTTTCTGTAAGGTGTTAATTAGGGTGGTCCATACATAATGTCATATCCTGTGCGTGTGTGTGAGTGTGTTAATAGTTATCGACGCCGTTGCCGCTCTGTTGCTGAGGACCAGCTTGTTTTTACTTTCTGTGAAAAATCATGACTGCCTAATCATGTGCTCTAAACAGCCAAACACTTTTATTTTTAAGTGTGATTTGTTTTGTTTTTTTAAAATGTCTCTTCTTTTGCAATACTCCCATCGTATATAATGCTGCATTTTGTTTCTGTTTAACTGCACACGTAAGAGGAAATTACTTAAGTGTCTTCTGAAGACAGGGTACCCACAGATCCTTTAAAAAGGCTTAAAATTAATTTTAAATTAAGGTGTTATTAAATCCAGTTATTATAAGTCCCATTTGCAGATACATGCATCCAATGCAACAACACTTCTACACAGTTTGACTTCTATTTACTTCATTTCACCAGGTTATTGCAGTCAGTATCAGGGCTGCTATCCAAGGTGTACATACATTTAAAACATACAGCCAACCACCTTGATGTCTCCTAACAATTAACAGTCTTCTTCCTACTAACTATGGAAGATTTATAAAGCATACAAACAAAGAAATAAACTACAATAAACATTATAAATACACAGAATTCTTTCATCTCACACAGACACGATAAGCAAAAAGTCAAATATTTTTTCACATACTATTTCTTTTTGTATTTTTGTGCAAAATAATTGTGACGCAGCACCTACAGAGACTTGGATATGTGCCTCCTAAAAATTGCCTCCTCCGTATTCTGCCCATTAAATGTTTCGTAATTTTCTTGAGGTTTTGTTTAATCAGAAATAGGCTGTTTCCTGCTCAGACTCTCTAAAAAAAATCTTTCAGAATTGTTTTTAACAATCCATAAAGCAGAGTGCGGGAATCTATATATGTCATGTCAACTGTTAGAGAAATATGAAAAAATACATAAACCATATGATCGTTTCTATTACCAACCGCTCTGTAAGTGAGTGACTTGAGGACCAAGTTATTAGAAGATCTTGAACAGTTTTGCGTTTAAGTGCCGTTACACCACTGAAGTGTAAATGAACTCATTTATCTTCTCCTATGCTACGTATTAATCATCGTCACCATAGAGTCATCACATATCTACATTATTCTTTGCCTTCTGAGCCCAGACGACGTGCTTTATGTAGTGCTTGAGTTATTATCAAAGATTAAATATGCAGTTTGTAAGTGGGATGATGAACACCCTCGCCCTCTGGGAAAGAAGGATTTTCTTTGTTTTTTGTCTTTGGGGGTGTTTTTTTGTGTGTGAAGTTTGGATTTATTGATTCCTCAGAGGTTTCAGTTCTTACAAACTGCATGTTTAAATTCTGAAGCAATACGACCTCACAGCTGGTGCTGTATCTTTGTACTCCGACTCCTTAAGCTGCGGATGGACACACTGCAAGGTTCTTGGCACCACATGACCTCCAGATACAAAGACTGAAATAAACACATCTTAGCTTTTGTTTTGTTTTTTTCCTCTCCACTTCTCATTAGCTTTCTTCTGGGCATTTCTCTCAGAAATTTGGTTTTAAAAGCCACTTTGGTGCCAAATAACTCGTGTGTGTTGTAGTGTGTGTGTGTGTGTGTGTGTGTGTGTGTGTGTGTGTAATTTCCAGGAATTCGAGTTGTCATTTGAGTTGTGTGTTTTTGATGCTTGTAGAAATAAGAAATAAGGGGAACAAACCATTGTGTATTAAATAATCTGGTGGTACTTTTATAAAAAAACAAACAAACAAACAAACTGTTAAAATGTGAAACTTTTTTGGAGGTTCTTTTCAGTGCCGGTTCTGACGTTCAGATACTAGAAGACCTTTCGCAAAATTTCACCAGCTTTTCAAAGCAAACTGCCACGTTTGCTTTTGATGTTCAGCTCTTTAAATGGTGTTTTCACATTGTGTTGCTTGACCTCAGAGCTCACTCCACTCACACTACGCATATTAATTGTAAAATATGAGACATCCAATTAATGCTGAGAAGTATCGCGCAGTTTATCTCTTAAAAAAACGTCAATATCTCTACTCCTTCACCAAAACTAGCTTCTTTCTGCCTTCTTTTTGCCACCAGTGAGTGCCTTAAAGAGTAGAACTGAAAGTAGATTTGGAAGTAAAAGCCAAAAAAGAAAAGAAAAAAGGTATCTAGAGGCACATACGCGTTTATAGTAGGTTTACTGCATGTTTGTGGTTTTTAACTGGAAGATCACAACGAGATGATGTAAAGTATTTTAGATAGGGCAAAGTTGGTACTGAGAGAATGTTTTTAAAGCTTGTACAAAAACACATTTATACCACTATTATCAGCCGTGTTGTCCAAGAATATAATGCTTTAAAAGTTGTCAGAAACCATTCAGTAAGTTTCACTGCAGTGTCAGACATGTATAAAAAACAAAACCATGATTAACACAGATAAAGTGCAAATAAATCTGTTACGCAGAGGGCAGGAGTCGGTTTCACCAGCTGTTCATAAGTTAAAACTTAATGTACCGATGAAATTAAAACAGGTTGCACCACATAGTTACTAATTATTTGTACCTAGTAACTGCCAGGGGTAACTTGGGGATTGGGACCCCTATTAGGGGTCGCCAAAGCTTCATGGGGGGTCGCCAGGCCTTTTTGATTTTAAGGAAAACTTAAAGAATAAATACACAGTAGGCCTATAGCTCAACATTTGGTTCACTTTTGTGAAGAAATATATGTCTAATAGAAGAGTGGCCAAGCATCAGGAACAAGAAAGCACTGAATTTGTCAAAAGAAAACACATAATATATGTGTGTGCATGTAAAAAAATGTCATATATATATAAAAAGTTCCAGAAACAGGAAATAATCTACTCAAAATTCATGCAAATCACTAATTTTAAACAAACTTCTTGTAGTTATTGAGTTCACTGTTTGGTGTTAATTGTACAGTTTTGAAAATAATATGAAATATCCATAAAATATGTCACTTAGTCAGTTTACTAACTGAACCAACTGACAAAGCTCATGTTAGCTTGCTAATATCTGACACACTTGATTACAGATGATTACAGTCGACATATCCGACGTGAAACTTGATATTGTTTAATAATGATGAAATTTCATAAAAATGACACAACATACCTCAAATTATTCAATTTTATCTCAATAACATTTGGCTCAAGCAGTAAATAACACACATAAAACAAATACTATATTTACAAAGAATATATCTTTTGTGCCTCTTACAGATGATTTACACATTACTAAATCTTAAGCTAAGACATTCCTGCGTTAGTTTGAACGTAGCTAGCATTTACTAAAAACTTAGATAGGACTTTGCATTCAAACTTAGCAATAGATTTATGAATAGCTGGTGCAGCGAAATGCTTGGGGACTAGCCTAGCTTCTGTAACGACATGGGTTCAATCATGTGTCTTTTTTTCTGTGTTTCTATCCATATTTTACCCCTATATTGTACTGGATGCTTACATTTGAACCCTGTGTCATTTTAATAGACCGTTAAAAGCGTCATGTACAGAGCTGGAGTCAGAATGTGGTTAGCTTAGCATAAAGACTGGAAGCAGGGGGAAACAGCTAGCATGGTTCTGTCCAAAGTTCAAGACTACCTACCAACAACTCTAAAGCTCATTAATTACCTGAGTTTATTAATCTTAATATTCTTAGTTAAGCTAATCATCTCCTGGCTGTGAGCTTAGCTTATGTAAAGTGATATCAGTTTAACTCAAAGCCAGTGTATCTACCAAAATTTTGAACTATATAGTGTCCGTGCACAATATTTTTACACACGTCCAACTCTTTAGGTTTCCGATGGCTGGCCTGCGTAAGCATTAGCAAACGGTCAAGCCTCGAGTTGTTGAATGCCAACAAATTATCTTAACTTTTTTGTTCAGTTTAATCTCCATCCAGATCAGTTGTAGATATTATCTTAGAAATATGGATAGGAAATGACAGAAACACTTCAGTTTTTCAGGCAACTGATGAAAGAAATCCTGTGGAAGACCGATACTCGAACGTTAAACCCAAGATAGTGGATCATTTTTGCCTCGCTCACCAACGGCTCTGCAGTAATTCACGTTGCCACGTACGTCGTCATTTCATGCAGGCAATAAAAAATTAAGAAAACAGAAGCAAAAGAAAGCAAAGGCTTTGTCAAGATATTGTAAAACTCTCTTGTACTCGTCTTTTTTTGGGGGGGAAATGCTGAGATTACACAGAAATATTAGTGTACTGGATTGTGAATCATTGGATTTTGTTTGGCACAAAACCTGTGAAGTGTTTAAAAGGGTTTAACTCACACATTTTATCTGTATATTCCCCACTCCATGTTCCAGTTCAGTAGAAGGATGTGACCTACATATGTGATGTTTCGTTTGAGGTACAGGAAATTGTTCATGTGTAATGACTGGATGAAGGATCAGCACAGGGAACTGAGCCTTCGCTGTAAGTAGATCTTATTCGTCCGCTATTTGAAGATCTGTGTGTTTTAATGACGTAAAACTGAAAGCGTGTTTGAAATATATTGTTTAACGGGGCACACGTAAAAACGAGAGATTTTTGAATGTTATACAGAAGAATCGACCACCGGTACTGATGTTTTTACCGACATCACAAGGGGTTAAATGTGTTTATACCATTGTATAACAGTTTGTACATCGAATACAACCTTCCCATTGTTTATTCTTGTAACATCATTGTAGGAAACAAAAGGTTTGGATGGACTGGACCAAGTGTAGAATTTGCAGAGAGAAACAAGACACTACCAGTAACCAGGACCCCAATATGGTCTGGACTGGAGCCCAAATCGGTGACTCTTCTGAGGAAGTGGAGAAGTGGGCAGAAAATCCAGATCCAGGAAGTCCAAATATCCAATAAAAGATGTTTATACAAATGGGAAAATGTTCTTTTATTGTTCTGGTGTCTTTCATTCTTCTGCTGCTTATGATCCCATTTTGGTGTCAAATTTAACACATTAATTTGAATTAATTTGAAAATAAGTTCTTAGGTTCAATGCTAAAAGACATATATTTGGAAAAATGGCAGAAATAAACCAATTTATTGATTTCTAACGCCACCTTTGGATATTTCTACCCAATGTTTTTGAGTTGAAACATCTTCATTATATGAAGATAGCTTATATTTCTGCCACCCTGTGAATATTTGTCTAGATCCGCCCCTGGATATCGAATCCACGAGCACGTGATGATGGATAAACACATGATCTTTGACTTTAAATGTGGTTTTACATCAGTTTTTTATCTAGCTTAGCTTAGCATAAAGACTGGAAGTGGGGGGAAACAGCTAGCCTAGCTCTGTTCAAAGTTTAAAAATACATCCAGGAAAAACTGAAAGCTCACTAATTAACCCAATTTGTCTCAACTGATTTATTCGTACGCAAATTTAAAAACATATTAAAACATTATGCAGTTTTATTTCTTAATGCTAAGCTACGCTAATTGGCTCCTGGCTCTAGCTCGATGCTTAACGAACACATACAAGTGTGGTATCGATCTTCTCGTCTAACTCTCAGCAAGGTGATTATGTATCTCTCAAATAGTTTTAAGACATCTAGGTTATTCATAATTCATAGCTAGGACCTGCTTTACTTTATGATACGATCATTTAAATGCTGTTAAACTAACAAAAACGGACAAAAGGGCTTTGGTGGTTTAATCAGATTTCAGTTTCTCAAATGTTCCTGCATGAGAGGAAGTCTGTCAGGATGTTTCACAGCAGAGAAATTATGTTCAACTGATAAGCACGTCGATACACCGCAGGCAGCCTAAGGCGAGGACACACAGCATCCGCAGAGGAGCCTCCTGTTTATGATTCATGGATGATTCAAGGATAAATTCACAGGCGGTCACCGGGTTAACTCCATGAGGAAAATATATTATTAATGAATATTTGCTTGTTTTGAATCACAATTATCAGTTATTTGTGTTGAATTAGCAGAACTTCAAAGCGGCTGTGGAAAGAAAGGTTTGTCTCTGTCAATGCTGTTTATTGGAAAAACACTCAAACTGACCAACAAACTGTGTTTTTAAACTAATAAAACACATACTGATTTACTTCCATCTGCAGTTTGGTAAGTGTTTGTACTACTACTTTTACTTAACTTTGTATTTAAATTTGATGCGTCATTAGTTTTTACTCCAGTACATCTTGACAATAACAAAACTTTTTAAATGTGATTATGAGCCAGTTTATAACATTATATAGAGATAAATATACTACAACCCTGCCTCCCTGTGGTCTTAATTAGGAATTGCACTTTTAAACTTTGATTCTCTTTGAACTATTTGATGGATATAAATAGTTTAATGAAACTGAATGGATTGCTATTCTCTTTCCAGAAGGGGGCAGTATAGACACATTTAAATAAGTTTCTTCCTCACTGATTCAAGGTTTACATTTGTTTATTAAATGTTGCAAAGAAATATATCTAATTTATAATGTTGTGATGTATTTTTATAACAGGAAATAGGAAAGATCTGCATTTTAAAGACAGCTCTTAATGAGTAAGTATTTTTACATCAGTAGTACATTAACTCAAATTATAGTACAAATGTTCAGTATTTTCATTCTTTATTCTACAATATACTTCAGAGGGAAATTATACTATATTTCTTATAGGTAAGAGAAAACTACAACAATTCTTTATTTTCAGGTGATTTTACACTAATGAAAACATAAATCTGCATATTATATTCAATTTCTGACGATAGATACTCATTAAAGTTACACACTGTCGAGGCCAATCTCCAAGCATCCAAGGCATGGCAGTATGTATTATGAATTGTTATAGTTTGACAGAAAGTTTATTATATCTAAATCTCTAAAGTCGTGAGATCAAAAAAACATATATTTCCATATTTTATATAATTTTTTTAGTATTTGGTGCAATTGTTTTTTTTATTTTTTTTTTATGGTTAATTAAAATCCAGAGATGCAAAGTAGAAAATATTACAAACATCATTAGAAAAATAAAAGAGGTACACACTACAACTCCCAAGGTACCTTTCGGCAACAAGCTGTAAATGATCCAATCACAGACTTTAGAATTCTGTGACGTGCATACCTAACGGTCGGAGTTTATGGCGGTTAAAGGAAAAACAAACCGTTAAAATCTGAGTCAGTAACTCCACAAATGTTATGTTCTCAACCATTGACAGGAAATGTTCTTAACTGTAACGTGAAAACCCAAAAAAATAAAAAATCTGCCGCTGTTTAATACAATACTACAACTATGGCGTCGTGTTTTATTCTCAACTGTAACGGCAAAATGTTTTGACTAGCTTCTTCTCCATGGCAACAACTGCCGAGGCTTATGGGTATTGTAGTATTTAGACCCTGTCTGCTATGCTAAAATACGGTATGTCAGAAAATAGGTGGAAATAAT